ACTTCCGCTTAAGCAGCATACTTACACAGTAAAACAACACACAGCACATAATGTGAAACGTGTTACTGGGGATGTAAGTGGCAGTTAGTCAGTTCCCCCCCCCAGGGTCAGAATGCCCTCCGCATTCCCTCTATAAGTTGCTGATCGCTGCCATTACTAGTATTAAAAAAAAAAAACACAGTATATATACTGCCATTTGTAGATGCTATAACTTTCACGTACACCAATTAATTTACACGTATTGCTATATATTTTTTTTTTTTTTGGCTAAGACGTAGCAGAATACATTTTGGCCTAAATTTATGATGAAGTTTGGATTTTCAACATTTTTTACTGGATATGTTTAATAGCAAAAAGTCAGAAATATTGTTTTTTTTTTTCTTCAAAATTTTGTTTATAGTGCACAAAATTAAAAATGCAGAGGCAATCAAATACCACCGAAAGAAAGCTCCATTTGTGGGGGGAAAAAGGACATAAATTTCATTTGGGTGCAGCATTGCATGACCGCGCAATTGTCAGTTAAAGTAGCGCACAGCACCATATCGCAAAAAATGGCCTGGTCAGGAAGGGGGGGAAATCCTCTGGAGGGCAAGTGGTTAATACCCATAGAATGATCCACCAAGTATACCACCTCACCAAAAATACTTCCAGCTCCTTACCAAATGTGGAAGTGCACGTCGCACTTGTGTAGCCATTTAGTCTGCGTTCGCAACTGTGTGTTTCTAAACACGACAACACGCACAGAAAATTTTGAAAATGCATGTCCTGCTTGCGTTGCCATTTAGGCTGCGTTTTTGCATCTGCGCGTTTCCGAACGTACGGCAACTCTCACTGAAAATGCATGCTTTGCATCATGTTTCAGAATCGCACATGATGCTTGCTTTGGCATTATGGCAACACAAATGTTATGTGCGTTTTCAAAGCATTCTGAAAATGCGTGGCAAAGCATGAATTTTCTGTGTGGGTTGCCACGCATTCGGAAACGTGCAGATGTGAATGCAGCAAAATTGTTGACACCCCAATTGCGGTTAGCAGACACATCTTAGATACTTTTGGCATTTGTCACTTGAATGGGCTGCCCTATGTGCGGTGCACGTTTATTCTTGAAAAAGGTGCAAAAAAATGTGAGCAGGAACATGTGTTTCTGCTACGCTCAGGTGTGAATGGACTGTACTTTTGGAGGAAGTTTTTAGGCAGCAATGATAACCAGGGAGGAGAGGTGAGGGTTAAAAAAACCAAAACACTCATCTATTAAAGTCACATAGAAATGCTTCTTGTCTATGCTAATGCGACTCTGAGTAAGGTCGCATTGAAGTCACATCAAAGTAATCAAAATTGGAAGCAAGTCACTGCAAAATATCACTGAAATTGCATAAAAATCACATTAAAATAGTGGTAAATGATATGTTTAAAACACAATGCAAACATGCCAAAAATGCATATGCATTTTTGATGTAGAGCAGTTTGAGAGTAACCTAAAACAGCCTATCTTTATGGTGCATTCTTGGTACAATTTATATGGTGCTAGCTGAATAAATGACTTGTGATAGCTTGCTGCATGTTACCAATGCAGGACTATCATGTTAACTGTGGATTCTTCAATAAAGGTTGATGTACTCTCCCTGGCGGTATTCTCGAGTGTAGCTCGGGGTAAAGTTTCAGTACCACAAGCGGTAACCCCGAGCTACACTCGGGCTTACTATGCGGTGCTGCTCCTGGATCTGTTTTTCTCTTACCTTGTCCTGTGCTCCCGCGATGTCCCTCCTGCAGTGTCCCCGGAAATGTCCTCCGGCGGATACCGGCATCTGTCATCTGGGTTCCGTCCCCTGCGGCGTCGGGACGTACGGGGGACGGAACTGGCAGGAAATTTGAAAATGACAAAAAGTGACATTCACTAAATACACTAAAATCACATAGTAAAACATTGCTGCATCAAAGCATTTCACATACATTTTGTCCCTAGTGCTTTGTCCTCTGCCCTGCCTGCATTTTTACTGTTCTTTCTGCCTGGAAACTGAGAAATGTCCATGGCGTCCAAAAAGCGCCCTTTTAGGTTAAAATTGGTTTTAGACCGGCTAGAAAACAGCGATAGTAAATTAGAACCACTTGCAGAATTGAGTGATAATGATTTGTGGGGAAATTCGTCATCAGGCACTGAAAATGATTTTGCGACTTTGCTCAGTGATGTGTGAACTTGGCGCTATATTTAAAATTTCAGTGACTGCCCTTTGCACAGAAACTAGAAATGGACTAGTCACAATGTTAAGAAGTTCTCCTCCAAGAGCACTTGTCGTGCAATTCTAATGCACAGTTTTGCTTCTGATTTTCATGAACATCTATCTCCCCATATCGTATTGCTCCTTTATCACAACTCATCCCTTTCAATTGTTCTGCTCCTTTTCCCCCCTTCAGTAATATGAACAAACTTCTCATGGCTGTGTCTCTCCGTTGTAACACTTCTTTATCCCAGCCAGTGTCCCACTCTTTCCATGCCCTGTCCTCCTCTGTTAGAATGCTCCTCTTTTGACTGTGTATTTTGCTGCCCTAAAACTCCATTCCTGGCTGTCTCTCTCCCTTTCATAAATCTTCGCTATCTACCCGCCATGTTCACTGTGCTTACTGGCTCCCTCTGTCTGCCAATTATATACACAACTGCCATTTTTTTCTGCAGATCCATTCATAATTTATGAATGGGTTTAAATCAGGGTGGATAAAAATCAATGATTTTTAAAAAAAAAAATAAAAAAAAATCTGATTTTTTTTTTTTTTTTAATTTAAATCGGATCTTTTTTTTTTTTATTTAAAAAGGATTTTTTTTTTTTGAATAAAATGCTTTTTGAGGGAAATTATATTACCATCCAAAGGTTATTCCATCATGAAATAAAGATTATTTTTTTAATTATGTAGAATAAGGCTGTATATGTTTAATTTTTTTGGTAAATAAATTCCATTAATCCATTCACAATGTCATGCTCTTCCAGAGGTTTTTGTAAGATTATTGGGCAGTTTCTCTGCCTACAAGATATCACAGATGCTTGGTTTACTTTTGCAGTTCTCAAAACTGAATTTGACTCAGCGGAGATCACATGCCTCTTTTTCACAGCAAAAATGTTATAACATGAACAGAGTTAAGAAAAAGACCTTAATCCTAACTTCTACAAATCTATGAGTACAGAATCAACCCCTTCAGTGCTAAGTTTCAAGAAGTTCAGTGAATAGAATAGAAACAATATTTTTCTGATTGTTTGGAGTGGACTGCACAAGAAGAAAGTGAAACTAGGTGTGAGGAGGAAGGGGCTGACAGTCTAAGTTTCTTAAAATATATATATTTTGTTTAGCCAAATTAGTTAACAAACATGGATGTTTGTTTAAGCAAATAACATATGCTGTAATGTTATTGTTTCAGATGAATAAATCTATTTAAATTGTTATTATTAAGGTAATGATTATTTTTCTCCTTCCTAAGTACAACAGAAAAGTTGTCCAAATATGAATGATTAACCTATTAAACTGGGGATAAAAAAACTAATATAAAAAGTTGTTATTCTAAAAATCTTCATCTACTTGCATATTAAAGTTATACCAGCAAGAATTAGTCTTTATGTAGAAAACTATGATTTAAATCAAGCCTTACTGACTAGTGATTTAAATCGTGATTTAAATCAGTTTGATTTAAATCAAATCCACCATGGTTTAAATGGTGACTCGCCATCGATTCCCTACTCATTATTTTGCTAGATGTGTGCCAGTCACTGTATTTGTCTCAACACTGCAACAAATTCATGTGCACAAGTGGCCTCCAAACTGCAGCCCTTTGTTTTGCCTTTATTTGGCAATAGGGCACTATTCCCCCCCCTGATACAAGGCACTATTCCCCCCACTAACACCAATGGTGAGGCACCATTCCTCCCACAAACGCCAACAATGGGGCACTATTCCTTCCACTGACACAAACAATTGAACACTATCCTTTCTTCCCATTAACCACCCAGTCTGAGGTATATACTCCTATTGCTGACATTTTCTACTTCCACTGTCCCCAGTCCAGTCCCCCTAAAGTCTAAAGCCTCGTACACAGGATGAGAATATAGGACAAATGATCATCCTTTTTTTTTTTTTTTTTGTTTTTGTTTTTGCATGTTAGTATCGAAAATGAATAGGTTACTAAAGTTACGAAAATTCTCGTAAGACAAAATACAACTTCAGAAGTGATGCAATGTACTGTGATGTATTCTTTCATTTCTGAGCATGCGCAGTCTTGGTAACTTGATTTTTTTTCATACAAATACTATACTCATTACCTGAAAATCGTTTGTTCTGTTCTATTAGGAGAAACCTTTTCGTTCTTGTCCTTTTGTATAATTTCGCATGAAGTGTCATGATCTGCTCTTGAAAGCTGTGTACGAACGAATAGATTATCGGACGATCGCTCTGAATGTGTTTTTTTTAAATTTTTTTTTTATTTGTCCAATTTTCTCATCGTGTATACCAGACATAAAGGATAGTAAAATGGCCGTTTTTGTTTTGAAAGTTTGGAGACCCCTGATGTATACAAATAGCACTTAGTGAGTTAATGGTTGCAATTATTGTGACTGCTATGGTAAATGTTCACCATTGTGTATACGTACGTGATTAGGTAGAATCAGGGTGCCCATAAACCTGTGGATTGTGTAGCTGTAACTCCTCCTCAGCAGTGGAAGGTGCAGTCATCAGCAGATTTGTTTTTTTCTCATACTGCATCAGGGCATAGAAGTTGTAGCTGTAGAGCTGCATAAAAAGAAGTAATGTAGGCCTGAAACATCCTTTCCAAACAATACTGGGGAAAATAACTGTTGGGTGGGTAGGTGGATTGTGGGCTACATATGCTTTCATTATCAGCAGACAAAACGCAAACTGAGCCATCAATGCATGTGTGTGAGCATTCTTAGTTTTTTTTTTTTTTTTCCCTGAAAAATGTTGACATTATAATGTGTCTATGTTTTATTGTATTTTGTTTGCAGACCTTTGTGAATGATGTCCGGATTCCTGAACAGACTTATATTACCCTGAAGTTTGAAGATAAGTTGAGATTTGGCTATGATATCCTTTTGAGATGTATTTGATAAATTAATTTATTAGACAAGCTGAAATCAAACACATTATACCTAATCCAGTACAAAGTGGTAAAAGGAAGCTAACTATAAATTCTGTTTAACAGGCTACTTCAAGTCTGAGACACACAGTCTATTCCTATGTAAATGTTTCACTGGATAGCTCTGAAGAAAAGGTTACTGTCTATAAGTGAGTAAATAAAAAAAAAAAAAATAAGATATTGTACACTAGATTTCCCTATGATCACCAAAACCCAGTTGCAATTCTCTGTTATTGTGAATCCCAAACTAACATCCTATATACCTCTCACGTCTAGGCCTATGATTTAGAAGTGTTTGGACATTAATGACCTGTGACACAATGTTAACAGTCAGACTCAAAAATAAATAATGCATGTACAGAAGTCTGTGCCATGGCAACAAATGCTAGTTGAGGACAAACAATAGGCATGCTGTATGGGTAATCTAAGGAGCATTGTGATGAGCCTTGTCTTAGAACACACCAACACAAGCGCCAGGCCACAATGCCAGCAATGATGGCATATAATAACGATTACAGTTCCTTGAAAAAGTATTCATACCACTTGAAATTTTTCACATTTTGTCATGTTACAACCAAAAACATAAATGTATTTTTATTGGGATTTTATGTGATAGACCAACACAAAGTGTAAGTGTGAAGTGAGAGAAAAATGATAAATGGTTTTCAAAATTTTTATACAAATAAATATATAGACAGCTACCCACTCATCACCCCTCTCCCCCGGCCTCACCACTACTCTGACCTCCACCCCACCTAACATTCCTCACACTGAAGCCCCCTCCACACTCCACACCTTCGACCTTACTACCATCGAGGAGGTCACCAAGGTCTTTTCTGACGCCTGCCTCACCACCTGCCCCCTCGACCCTATCCCCTCACAACTCCTATGGCCCCCCTCCATCCTATGCTCCCTCACCCACATCTTTAATCTCTCCCTCTCTTCCGGTGCATTCCCCTCCCCTCTGAAGCACGCGCACATCACTCCCATACTCAAAAAGCCCTCCCTGGACCCGAACAACCTCAGACCCATTCCCTGCTCCCATTCTCATACAAACTCCTCGAGCGCCTAATCTACAATCGCCTAAGCTCTCACCTCAACGACAACAACCTCCTCGATCCCCTACAGTCCGGCTTCCGTCCCCTACACTCCACCGAAACTGCCCTACTCAAACTCTCCAACAACCTTCTAACCGCCAAAGCTAATGGCCACTTTTCAGTGCTCCTACTCCTTGACCTCTCCGCTGCCTTCAACACAGTTGACCACCCCCTCCTCCTCAAAAAAAACTTCACTCCCTCAGCCTCAGAGATTCTGCTCTCTCCTGGCTCTCGTCCTACCTATCACAACGCTCCTTCAGCGTTACCTATAACACTACCACCTCCCCCTCGCTCCCCGTCTCTGTTGGGGTCCCTCAAGGCTCCGTCCTCGGGCCCCTTCTCTTCTCCATCTACACCTTCTCCCTTGGCCAACTCACACACTCTCACAGCTTCAACTACCACCTCTATGCCGACGACACACAAATCTACCTCTCTACCCCTCGCCTCACCCCCACTGTCTCCGCCTGAATCACAAACCTACTAAACGACATATCAGACTGGATGTCGCTCCACTTCCTTAAACTGAACCTCTCCAAAACCGAGCTCCTAGTCTTCCTCCCAGCTCGCACACCACCCCTCATTGACTTCTCCATCACGTCCAACAATGCCACTATCAGGCCTGCCTCGCAAGCCAGAGTACTTGGTGTCATTCTGGACTCCAACCTATCCTTCTAGCCCCAAGTCCAATCACTAACTAACTCATGCAGACTCCACCTCCGCAACATCGCCAAAATCCGCACTTTCCTAACCCCAGAAACCACTAAACAGCTCATTCACTCCATCATCATATCACGACTCGATTACTGCAACTCCCTCCTCACTGGCCTGCCTCGCCACAGGCTATCCCCGCTGCAGTCGATCCTGAACACGTCAGCCAGACTCATTCACCTTACCAACCGCTCCATTTCCGCCACCCTCCTCTGCCAATCCCTCCACTGGCTTCCGAATGCCCAACGGATCAAATTCAAAGGCCTAACACTGACATACAAAGCTGTCCATCATACTGCCCCAAATTACATCACCGACCTAATATCCAAGTACCACCCAACACGCACTCTCCACTCCTCACAAGACCTCCTTCTCTCTAGTTCCCTAGTCTCCTCCTCCCATTCCCTCCCCCAGGATTTCTCCAGGGCGTCCCCTATCCTCTGGAACTCCCTACCCCAATCCATCAGACTATCCCCTACTCTCCTCTCATTTAGGCGCACCCTGAAAACCCACCTCTTCAGGGAAGCCTTATCCACCCCCTGCTAATTGCCGACCTCTGCCACTCTTCCTACCACTCCATTCCCCACAGCTATCTCTTCCTGTACCACTATCTCCTCCCTCCTAGATTGTAAGCTCGAAAGAGCAGGGCCCTCGAACCCCTCGTGTATCACATTGTATTGTTTTCGTACTGTTGCATGTTCTGTCTCCCTTTGTAATGTACAGCGCTGAGCGAACTGTTGGCGCTTTATAAATACTGTATAATAATAATATCTGAAAAGTGTGGCATGCATTTGTATTCAACCCCCGAGTCAGTACTTTGTAGAACCACCTTTCGCTGCAATTCCAGCTGCAAGTCTTTTTGAGTATGTCTCTACAAGCTTTGCACATCTAGAGAGAGAAATTTTTGCCCATTCCTCTTTGCAAAATAGCTCAAGCTGTATCAGATTGGATGGAGAGCGTCTGTGAACAGCAATATTCAAGTCTTGCCGCAGATTCTCAATTGGATTTTGGTCTGGACTTTGACTGGGCCATTCTAACACATGAATATACTTTGGAAGGTGAACCTCCACCCAGGTCTCAAGTCTTTTGCAGACTCTTAACAGGTTTTCTTCTAAGATTGCCCTGTATTTGGCACCGTCCATTTTCCCATCAACTCTGACCAGCTTCCTTGTCCCTGCTGAAGAAAAGCATCCCCACAATATGATGCTGTCGCCACCATGTTTCACGATGGGGATGGAGTGTTCAGGGTGATATGTAGTGTTAGTTTTCCACCACACATAGTGTTTTGCTTTTAGGTCAAAAAGTTATATTTTGGTCTCATCATCTGACCAGAGCACCTGCTTCCACATGTTTGCTGTGTCCCCCACATGGCTTCTCGCAAACTGCAAACGGGACGTCCTATGGCTTTCTTTCAATAATGGCTTTCTTTTTGCCACTCTTCCAAAAATGCCAGATTTGTGGAGTGCATGACTAATAATTGTCCTGTGCATAGATTCTCCCATCTGAGCTGTAGATCTCTGCAGCTCCTCCAGAGTTACCATGGGCCTCTTGGCTGCTTCTCTGATTAATGCTCTTTTTGCCTGGCCTGTCAGGTTAGGTGAACGGCCATGTGTTGGTAGGTTTGCAGTTGTTCCATGCTCTTTCCATTTTTAGATGATGGATTGAACAGTGAGATGTTCAAAGTTTGGAATTTTCTTTTTTAACCTAACCCTGCTTTAAACTTCTCCATAACTTTATCCCTGATCAGTCTGGTGTGTTCCTTGGCCTTCCTGATGCTGTTTGTTCACTAATGTTTTCTAACAAACCTCTGAAGGCTTCACAGAACAGCTGTATTTATACTGAGATTAAGTTATACACAGGTGAACTCTATTTACGAATTAGGTGACTTCTGAAGGCAATTGGTTCCACTAGATTTTAGTTAGGGGTATCCGAGTAAATGGGGCTGAATACAAATGTATGCCACACATTTTTTCAGATATTTATTTGTAAATACTTTTTAAAACCATTGATCATTTTCCTTCCACTGCACAATTATGTGCCACTTTGTGTTGTATCACATACAGTCCCAATAAAATACATTTACATTTTTGGTTGTAACATGACAAAATTTTGAAAATTTCAAGGGGTATGAATACTTTTTCGTGCACTGTACTACACAGATTCAGCCAGTGAAGAACAAGACCTTTTCTTCTACAAACATTTAAAACTTTTAGTGGAAATCAAAGATCCAGAAGGAAAAGTAATAACAAAGATCAGGAGCAGCTCAGTTCCTTGAAAACGCACTCTAGCACCAGTACTGTTGAAATACTGGTTCACTCATTGCCACTGTGGTGCTGGGGGTAGGTGGATGCTTCCCATCCCAGAAAAAAAGGGACGACAGAGATGGTCAAGTCCTGACTTATTACATTCAAAAGGGAGAAAATTGTTTTCAATGGAATTGCTTATTAGCAGCTGTAAACCAGTGGTTGAGGAGATGTGTTTTTACACCCACTCCCCTTTAAGGCAGGCAGACAGGGATACAGACATGCCACAGTGCTTTGCTTCACAACTCCAGCAAAAATTATACCTCCTGTTGCATTTGGCTGGCAGTACTGCCTCCGAACACAACCCATCCAAGTAAGTGGGGTTGTGCTGCATCCGTGCATAATGTATGCAGTTGTGGCATCATGGAGCGGCAGTTAAAACGTGTGCTGAGGAGGCGACATTTCTCTCCCATGTAAAGTGCAATTTCCCTTGTAAACTGAACAGCCTATTTGCCTTTAGTAAATTGACTCTGTGGGTGCTTTTATAAAACAAAAAAAGACTTCTGCAAAACGTGTAGCTTGCAGCTAAGTCCATTTTAATCTTTGGCTACTCAGTTCATTCATATCTAAGCCTAAATCAACAACTAAATATATTAGAGCTTACCAGTTCTTGGATGTGATAACTGCTTTGGTTTTTATTTTTCAGGCTAAGAGTTTTTTTCAGCAAACACAGAAAATAACTTGATTTTGCCAGAAATGCCATGTCTTTGTCACTTCCTGTGAGCTGAAAACAAACCATTATCTTTCATATGTAAACTACTAGTCCCATCAAACAATTATGCAATGGAAATGAACAATGACAGACATATTTAAAGGATAAGCTCACTTAAAAGAGGAAAAAAATAAATGGCCATTTTTTTGCAGGTACATGCTTTCACAGGGAGAGCGGGCGGCGGCTGCAGCAGTGGGAACATGTTACATGTTCCAGCCTAAAAACAGGTGGAACATGTAACGTATTCCCAACGGTGAACTTATCCTTTCCAGTTCAACCATGGCTCCCTCCATAGATACAGTGGAGAAATGAGTGAAGACACAAAGGGGGTTATTTGCTAAAGCGGCAGAGTGCACAATCTGGTACAACTTGGCCCATTGGCTTCCATGTTTTATTGCCAAAGCCTAATTGAACAAGCTAAAGTTAGAAGCCGATTGGTTACCATGCACAGCTACACCAGATTCTGTGTGCACCACTTTTAATAAATCTCCCCCAATGGGGCAAGAAGTGTGTTATTTAAGGATCACAAGGTGAAGCTAAGGATTGGAAGCTGCAGTATATTAAATTTTTTGATTTGGGTTTAGATACTATTTAACCTTTTTAGAGTAACTTTGTCCGTCTTTAATTAGAGATGTTGATTCCCTGAGTAGAAAAGCTATTATACTCACTTCTCTGGTGGCCCATGCCTCCTAACATTGAGCTAGCACTGCAGCTTCCATCAGTTTCTTCAGAAATAGACACTGCTGAGAGTTTTGGATGCTTGTGTCCCCCCACTATACACCATGGTTCCATCTTCTCACCCCTGTGTCACTACAGGGCACAGCAGTGACATAGGATTGAACAATAGAATCGCAGCACACGGCGGGGAACACTGGCATCCAAAATATCAAGCCGTGGCGAAGGCTTCAGGTCTGGTAAGGAACAATGTTAGAATGCACGGGCTGCTGGAGAGGAGAGTGTAAGAGCTTTTCTACTGCAGTGAACATTCATTTCTATTTGTATGGCTTTAAAGCTGGACTCAAGTCAGATATAAAAGATAACAGTTAATGCAATTAGCTATTCATTAATAATTCCTTTTTTTTTTTTTAAATGCAACTAGTATAGAGACCTGATTTTGAATTTATATCAGCTTCTAGTAATCCCTTATACAACAGCACTGGTAGAAAAAGGGACAGGACTGGGAGCCAATCAAGTGTTCTGAATGCTAATGAGGAAGGATTCCATAACAGTAAGTGGTTTTATCCACTTGGCTGTGCTGTCTGGCATGGACTGGATGGATAGAAATATACATTTTTTGGCAGATAAAACTGTTCCCTTATGTATATTTCACCTACGTAATAGGTTGGTTGCCTATGGTTCAGCCGTAAAGTAATTGTAAACCCTCACCTTGTAAAACAACCCATTCAGTTTAGAAATCAAAAGCAAAACATTTTTTTTGTATAGATATAAAAAAAAATTCTAAACACTTCTTTCCCCTTTTTATTATAAGTGATCATATTCCCTCTGTCTCAGCTGCATAAGAAACTGGGGGACGAGGAACAACATTACACTAATCTTCCCAGTGAAAGGCGAGGGGGGGGGGGGGGGGCATGTCAGTGCAAGTCTGATCATTGGAGGGGAGCACATGGAGTTCTCAACATAGCTAGAGAACTGACCATGGTGTGTTCTTCTGCCTAGTGTGGTTAGTTTTTTAATTCGAAAGCAAAGGGAATGGCAGGAACACCAGGGATTTTACACAACGGACCCAAGGGAATAGGATGCTTTTTCATATATGGTACAGCAGGCACATATGTGAAATGTTGTGTTTACGTACTCTTTAAAAAGCAACTGTGCGTGTTGCTAGTCCATCTGTGAATTAGTTCTACATTGAGAAAAAAATGGTGTTCATCCTGTCGCTTAGTATAGCATTGTTCATGCAGTCTGTGCAATGTGGTTGGTCAGTGTTGATTACTATTAATATTACTATATGTGTATAACTGTTTCCAAACATTATCTGCTGTTTCCTTAGCAGAGTATACATACCAATCTTTTTACTGTAGTACGTGGGGAAATGAAGGTTCCTGAAGAAGCTCTTAAGGTAATTCACTTTATAAATGAACCATGGCCAGTATTATGGTTTGTTTACATTGAGACAATTGTCTTTTTCCCAGTTCTTCTTTCAAGACCCCTCTGTGAAATGCAGCTCCTTCTGCTGTAAACAGGAAACACAAGTCACAGAGAATAAAGAAAATTAAAATATTTTACTCTTCGCTCCTGGAACAACAAGATTCTGACCCGTTTACTAAGTTTTGTTTGCAATTTTGTGCTGGGGACCAACCACCTCATCACTTGAGTGGTTTCTTTGGAGTCAGTGGCAGGTTTAAGCTGTACATTTGTACCCCTTCCTACATTTTGATGTTGCTGACAGAGAGAGCCTGCCTTTAGGGCTAGAGGACCCTTTTATTCTTGTCCTGTTTTGATCTCATGCAGAAAGGTTTGGATGTTTGGCAGGGGGTCACATTGTGATGGACATAAGAGCTAATTCACATTGGTGCATTGATCTGCATTTTATCGCAGGTCAAGGCATAGACACATAAAAAACAATTGCTAGACATCCTGTTTACCAAAAACCTCTCCAAAAACTAAAATGTGTTCACTCGCTCCTTCTCCAACCCAAAAACAGGAACAGGATGTGATGTCACAGGAAAATGCAAAACGCATAGCATTTTAACGTGTCCATGCATGTCACAACGTGCATCAGCGCTTTAAAAACAAACAAATGAATGGAAATGTAAATCCATTTTCCCTGCATTTTTATGCACATCAGTGTGAATTTTCAGCCTAAGTTATTTCTGAGTACATTGGAAATTCACACTGACTTGCGCTAAAATGCATGGAAAATGTACATTTCCATGCATTTTAGTTGCGTTTAATGCACATTGACATGCATTTTGCCGTGCATTGATGTACGTTTTTAGTGCGTTAAAGCACACTTTATTTTTCTGGATTTCCTTTGACATCACATTCTGTGTGTAGAGAAAGAGAGTGTGATGAGGGAAGACATATTCATATTTGGAGAATGTTTGTGTAGATTTTTCTCCATTTTGTGTTAATAGGATGTCTACCACAACAGCCCTAACAGCGCTAGCTATACTCAGGAGGAGGAGGCATGTGAGGAGTCTGGGGCAAACAAGAAGATGCTATTGGCTACATCCACTGCTGTCACAATGGGAAAGTAAAGGACAGTTTTGGACCTTATACCAATATTTCACACTCTCCAATCCCCCAAATATGGCCTCTGGTATTTTCCTTATGAGGGAGAAAATAAATCACAAATCAAAAATTTTTTCCTTTTTTTTTTTCCTCTACTTGCAAGGCATTGACCTGCATCAACGCAGCATTTTGGTTTGAACAGGACACATAAGAAGCAATTGTTTTTTAAACAAGGGCAGCACAGTGGCTAAATGGTTAGCACTTCCGCCTGGCAGTACTAGGGTCGTTGGTTCAAATCCCAGCCACGGCACCTGCTGCCTGGAGTTTGCATGTTCTCCCTGTGCCTCCCACACTCCAAAGACATGCTGGTAGGTTAGTTGGATCCTGTCAAAATTGGCCCTAGTATATGTATGTATGAATGTGAATTAGGGACCTTAGATTGTACACCCCTTGAGGGTTAGGGACTGATGTGAATGTACAATATATATGTAAAGCGCTGCGTAAATGGATGGCGCTATATAAGTACCTGAAATAAATAAATATTTGATCCCCTACCAACCAACAATAATTCTGGCTCCCATAGACTGGCTATGTGCTCATAGTACACATTCAAATCTCACCACCATGGGCAAGACCAAGGAGCTGTCAAAGGATGTCCGGGAGAAGATTGTAGATCTGCACAAGGCTGGAATGTGCTACAAGACCATCAGCAAGAAGCTTGGTGAGAAGGCAACTGTTGGAACGATTATTCGCAAATGGAAGAAATACAAAATACCCATCAATTATCCTCGGTCTGGAGCTCCACGCAAGGTTTCTCCTCATGGGATAAGGATGACCATGAGAAAAGTGAGGGAGCAGCCCAGAACTACACGAGAGGAGCTTGTGAATGATCTTAAGGCAGTTTGGACCACAGTCACCAAACAAACCATTGGTAACACAATATGCCGCCATAGATTGAAAGCCTTCAGCGCCCGCAAGGTCTCCCTCCTCAAGAATGCACATGTACAGGCCCGTCTGAGGATTGCCAATGAACAGCTAAATGATTCAGAGAAGGATTGGGAGAAAGTTCTGTGGTCAGATGAGACAAAATTTGAGCTCCTTGGCATTAACTTGACTTGCCATGTTTTGAGGTAGAAAAATGCTGACTATGACCCAAAGAACACTATCCCTATAGTCAAGCACGGAGATGGAAACATTATGCTTTGGGGCCATTTCTCTGCTTAAGGTACAGGCAGACTTTGCTGCATTGAAGAGCCAATGCACAGGGCCATGTAATGTAAAATCTTGGATGAGAATCCTTCAGCCAAAACAGTGAAGATGGGCCGTTGATGCGATGGTCTTCCAGCATAACAATGACCCAAAACATACTGCCAAAGCAACAAAGGAGTGGCTCAAGAAGAAGCACATTAAGGTCATGGAGTGGCCTAGCCAGTCTCCGGACCTTAATCCTATAGAAAATGTATGGAGGAAGCTGAAACTTCAAGTTGCCAAGCGACAGCCAAGAAACATTAAGGATTTAGAAAAGATCTGCAGAGAAGAGTGGACCAAAATCCCTCCTGAGATGTGTGCAAACCTGGTAACCAACTACATGAAATGCCTTACCTCTGTGCTTGCCAACAAGGGTTTCTCTCCATCAAGTACTGTCATGTTTTGCTTGGGGATCATATACTTATTTTACTCACTGAACTGCAAGTCAATTTATAACATTTGTATGTGTTTTTCTGGATTTTTGGTTGATATTCTGTCTCCTATACACCTATGATAAAAATTATAGACCCTCCATTTCTTTGTAAGTAGGCAAACTTACAAAATCTGCAGGGGATCAAATAATTATTTTCCCCACTGTATAGCACTGATACAGGCAAAAAAAAAAAATATATAAAATAGCAAAAGGAAGAAATCTATATGGTCCAATCTATCCACCATAGAAGGAGGAGTTCCAAGATACTTCAGTAATCCTTAAGCCTAGGTTCACATTAGAATGTGGTGTGGAAATGGCCTTAAATGACACCACTCTGAATCACATGTCAATTGAACAGGAATGCAGTGCGGTTCCAGTGCGATTACTTTGCTGTTCATAGTGTGAATCAAGACTTAGGTGAGGAAACTAAAAAAAATAAAAAGAAAAGAAAAAAAAGGATGTTTTTTTGTAAACCACAATACTGCAATGATATCAAAAGGAGTCTACCACACCAGACTCATCTTCCATAGCTCATGTGAGCCAAACCTAAATATATACATCAAGATGCTCTTTGGACTAAGGGCCAATTCACACTCTAAAACGCGGATCAATTCACACTCGTGAATTGATCCGCGTTTTAGAGCACCTGTAAAACGCAGGTCAACACAAGGACACCTAAAAAAAACAATTGCTTCTTACAGTCAGGTCCATAAATATTGGGACATCGACACAATTCTAACATTTTTGGCTCTATACACCACCACAATGGATTTGAAATGAAACTAACAAGATGTGCTTTAACTGCAGACTGTCAGCTTTAATTTGAGGGTATTTACATCCAAATCAGGTGAACGGTGTAGGAATTACAACAGTTTGCATATGTGCGTCCCACTTGTTAAGGGACCAAAAGTAATGGGACAGAATAATAATCATAAATCAAACTTTCACTTTTTAATACTTGGTTGCAAATCCTTTGCAGTCAATTACAACCTGAAGTCTGGAACGCATAGACATCACCAGACGCTGGGTTTCATCCCTGGTGATGCTCTGCCAGGCCTCTACTGCAACTGTCTTCAGTTCCTGCTTGTTCTTGGGGCATTTTCCCTTCAGTTTTGTCTTCAGCAAGTGAAATGCATGCTCAATCGGATTCAGGTTAGGTGATTGGCTTGGCCATTGCATAACATTCCACTTCTTTCCCTTAAAAAACTCTTTGGTTGCTTTTGCAGTCTGCTTTGGGTCATTGTCCATCTGCACTGTGAAGCGTCCAATGAGTTGTGAAGCATTTGGCTGAATATGAGCAGATAATATTCCCGAAACACTTCAGAATTCATCCTGCTGCTTTTGTCAGCAGTCACATCATCAATAAATACAAGATAAGCAGTTCCATTGGCAGCCATACATGCCCACGCCATGACACTACCACCACCATGCTTCACTGATGAGGTGGTATGCTTAGGATCATGAGCAGTTCCTTTCCTTCTCCATACTCTTCTCTTCTCATCACTCTGGTACAAGTTGATCTTGGTCTCATCTGTCCATAGGATGTTGTACCAGAACTGTGAAGGCTTTTTTAGATGTCGTTTGGCAAACTCTAATCTGGCCTTCCTGTTTTTGAGGCTCACCAATGGTTTACATCTTGTGGTGAACCCTCTGTATTCACTCTGGTGAAGTCTTCTCTTGATTGTTGACTTTGACACACATACACCTACCTCCTGGAGAGTGTTCTTGATCTGGCCAACTGTTGTGAAGGGTGTTTTCTTCACCAGGGAAAGAATTCTTCTGTCATCCACCACAGTTGTTTTCCGTGGTCTTCCGGGTCTTTTGGTGTTGCTGAGCTCACCGGTGCGTTCCTTCTTTTTAAGAATGTTCCAAACAGTTGTTTTGGCCACGCCTAATGTTTTTGCTATCTCTCTGATGGGTTTGTTTTGTTTTTTCAGCCTAATGATGGCTTGCTTCACTAATAGTGACAGCTCTTTGGATCTCATCTTGAGAGTTGACAGCAACAGATTCCAAATGCAAATAGCACACTTGAAATGAACTCTGGTCCTTTTATCTGCTCATTCTAATTGGGATAATGAGGGAATAAACACACACCTGGCCATGGAACAGCTGAGAAGCCAATTGTCCCATTACTTTTGGTCCCTTAATAAGTGGGAAGCACATATGCAAACTGTTGTAATTCCTACACCGTTCACCTGATTTGGATGTAAATACCCTCAAATTAAAGCTGACAGTCTGCAGTTAAAGCACATCTTGATAGTTTCATTTCAAATCCATTGTGGTGGTGTATAGAGCCAAAAATGTTAGAAGTGTGTTGATGTCCCAATATTTATGGACCTGACTGTATGTGTCCTGTTCAAACCAAAATGCTGCGCTGATCCAGGTCAATGCCTTGCAAGTAGAGAAAAAAAAAAAAAAGGAAAAAAATATTTGCTTTGTGATTTATTTTCTCCCTCATAAGGAAAATACCAGGGGCCATATTTGGGGGATTGGAGAGTGTGAAATACTGGTATAAGGTCCAAAACTGTCCTTTAATTTCACATTGTGACAGCAGTGGATGTAGCCAATAGCATCTTCTTGTTTGCCCCAGACTCTTCATATGCCTCCTCCTCCTGAGTATAGCTAGCGCTGTTAGGGCTGTTGTGGTAGACATCCTATTAACACAAAATGGAGAAAATCTACACAAAAATTCTCCAAATATGAATATGTCTTCCCTCATCACACTCTTTCTCTACACACAGAATGTGATGTCAAAGGACATCCACTCCAGTGGGTAGCGTGAACCTTTTAAAAATTGTATTGGGGTCGTTATGTTGGAATACTGCCCTATGGCCCAGTCTCTGAAGGGAGGGAATCATGCTCTGCTTCTGTATGTCACAGTACATGTTGGAATTCATGGTTCCCGCAATGAACTGTAGCTCCCCAGTGCTGTCAGCACTCGTGCAGCCCCAGACCATGACAGTTCCACCACCATGCTTGACTGTAGGTAAGACACACTTGTCTTGGTACTCCTCACCTGGTTGCCGCCACACACGCTTACCAGCTGAACCAAATAAAAGTTTATCTTATGGTCCCATCAGACCACAGGACATGGTTCCAGTAATCCATATCCTTAGTCTTCTAGTCTTCTGCAAACTGTTTGCGGGCTTCCTTGTGCATCATCTTTAGAAGAGGTTTCCTTCTGGGACAACAGCCTTGCAGACCAATTTGATGCAGTGTGCGGCGTATGGTCTAAGCACTGACAGGCTCACCCCCCACCCCTTCATCCTCTGCAGCAATGCTGGCGCACTCATATGTCTTTCCCAAAGACAACCTCTGGATATGACACTGAGCACATGCACTCAACTTTTTTGGTCGACCATGGTGAGGCCTGTTCTGTGTGGAACCTGTCCTGTTAAACCGCTGTATGGTCTTGGCCACCATGCTGCAGCTCAGTTTCAGGGTCTTGGCAATCTTCTTATAGCCTAGGCCATCTTTATGTAGAGCAAAAATTCTTTTTTTTCACATCCTCAGAGAGTTCTTTGCCATGAGGTGTCCCCAGAAACCACTAAGCAGCTCATCCACTCCCTTATCATATCACGACTCGATTACTGCAACTGCCTCCTCACTGGCCTGCCTCACCACAGGCTATCCCCGCTTCAATCGATCCTGAATACGGCAGCCAGACATCCACCTTACCAACCGCTCCATTTCCGCCACCCCCCTCTGCCAATCTCTCCACTGGCTTCTGATTGCCCAACGGATCAAATTCAAAATCCTAACACTGACGTACAAAGTTGTCCATCATACTGCCCCAAACTACATCACTGACCTAATATCCAAGTACCACCCTACACACACTCTCTGCTCCTCACAAGACCTCCTTCTCTCTAGTTCTCTAGTCTCCTCCTCCCATGCCCGCCTCCAGGACTTCTCCAGGGCGTCACCCATCCTCTGGAACTCCCTACCCCAATCCATCAGACTATCACCTACTCTACTCTCCTTTAGGCGCACCCTGAAAACCCACCTCTTCAGGGAAGCCTACCCCACCCCCTGCTAATTCCTGACCTCCTCCACTGTTCCTTCCACTCCATCCCCCCACAGCTATTTCCTCTTGTACCACTATCCCCTCCCTCCTAGATTGTAAGCTTCAAGGAGCAGGGCCCTCGAACCCCTCGTGTATCGCATTTTATTGTTGTACTGTATCATGTTCTGTCTCCCATTGTAATGTACAGTGCTGAACGAACTGTTGGTGCTTTATAAATACTGTATAATAATAATAATAATAATGTTGAATTTCCAGTGACCGGTATGAGAGAGTGAGAGCGATAATACAAAATTTAACACGCCTGCTCCGCATTCACACCTGAGACCTTGTAACACTGAGTCACATGACATCAGGGAGGGAAAATGGCTAATTGGGCCCAATTTGGACATTTTTCACTTAGAGGTGTACTCAACTTTTGTTGCCAGCGTTGTTGCCTGGAGGTTCACATCTGTGCTGCTGTGTGTTGGGCAGTCCATTCATTTCACTGGGCTTCCCTACCTGCAGAAAAACAGAAAGAAGTCCCTGGTCCTTTTTTTTTAAATTGCACCACAACGAAAAAATGTACTGCGTTTGCCAATGCTTAGGGGTACCATTAAGAATTAATGACACCCCTGTGTTTCTGCTTAGGAGCAGTGCATTTTTCTGCATGTTGAGAACACATGCAATTTTGTACGCGCTCCCCAACTCGCAGTAATCTAAATCAAGCCTTAAACTGGGGTGCCTCGAGACTGAAAGTACTTTTACAAGGGCGCCCTGACTGGAAAAAGGTTGAGAAATACTAATATAAATCACAAGGGGTGCTATTTGTGTGGCTGTTTAGGACAGATAATTTCGGACAGCCTTATTGCATGCATATTTTTTATCAATAATTCACAACCATCGTACAAGTAGTGCTCCTATTTTAGCAGATATATACGGATTACCTCTTGGTGTACTGTCCTGAATGACGACCTCTTTTTCTGCACAAAGAGCCCCCATATTTCCGCTTTGTTTCTATCCTGTTTTCTTTATGTTCTCTTTCAGAACTGGATTTTAGATAAGTTTGATCATATATAATCTTGCTTGTGTTGCCTGTTCAGAGAAGGTAGAGTCAAATCCAGCAGAGCTATTCTGAAGGATTCCAAAATCAGAATCGCCTAATTCTCAAATTTTTTTTTTTTTTTTTTTAGCATGAAAAGTTTACGAGTCAACTTCAGTTTTCTCAAAAACAAATTGACACTGAAGGATCAAAGTGCAAGAGCACAGACACAAAGACAACTGTCCTTACAGATGTTCATTACAAAGCTTTGGAGTCATTGAAGTCAGAAGAAAAGCTTGCAGGTATCGTGATTTATTTCTTCACATTTTAGTTCTGGAACTTTCTGCATTTAAATAAGTTTTCCTCTTGTTTCTTGTGTTTTAGGAAGTTGTCTTTACATTCCCATTGGTTACTTATTTTTATTTATTTATCACTGTTCTGACCTGTTTGATGTACTTTGGAGATAGTAGAGAGATTATACCAGCTCAGAAAAATCGGCTTCATACACATACTGGTTTTCTAGCCTCTGAAGTAATTGTGAGTTTAATGTTACAGCCCAAGTCGAGCTTGTGCTAAGAATGAAGCAATCTGGCCTTCACAGACTAACACCCTCACCGATCCAGTCTCCTAGGTTAAATTAACATCCTAAGTACTGTGAGCTCAGAGCATCAAGTATCCCCCCCCCCAACGTAGACTCAAAGGATAATGCTGCAAAGAAAGAAAGCAGTCTGAAAAAGACATTTAAAGTTGAACTCGCTCCAGGAATCTGGCAAACAACTTTTGCAGTGTGGCCTCCATGTTCTATAGGCTTAAATGCTTGTTAAGTCTAGGAGTGCACAGAAAGGGAGATATTCTCCTCACGTTTGGCTCCGGCAGGCTCCCTTGATTTGGGCAACCAGTCCTATGCGGCCTCCTCTCTTAGGCGCTTTAAGCGGCGATCGCATGCTTGCCCACACTGCGTACAATGCAGGCTGTATTGCTCTGCATTGCACGGGATGATGTTGAGTCCCCATCCACAGGCCGAAGCATCAGGAAAATGAGAAGAGTGTTGGAGCTGAAACAAAGAGTAAGTAATACTGCATGTTCACCTCTCCCTAGACCACAGTTGTCAAACTGGCGGCCCTCCAGCTGTTGCCAAACTACAAGTCCCATGAGGCATTGCAAGATTAACAGTTACAAGCATGACTCCCAAAGGCAGAGGCATGATGGGACTTGTAGTTTCACAACAGCTGGAGGGCCGCCATTTTGACACTCCTGCCCTAGACTAAATGAGCAGTTCACCCTAGCAGTACAGAGGAGCCCACTGCAAGAATTGTATTTGTCACATTCCTGGAGTTCAACTTTAAGACTTGCCATAGTTCTCTGGTGGATGGGGAGTTCTCACTTGTCTCTCTTTAAGAGCTACAGCCTCCAGCAGAATTTCCATATCTGACACACTTCCAGGTTTCTCAGATGCCTTGTTCCCTTCTGTTTATTATGGTTTCTCCCCTTGGCTTCTAAGTAATTTCTGTGTGCTCTAGTGTAGTAGGGACCATCAGATTGAGTCACAACACACTTGATTGGGTATACAGGCATCCAACACACCCAGTGTTGGATTCTAAACATTCTGCAGACGGCCTTAAAGTAAGATTAAACCCTCAGAGATTTTTAGCTTAAAGAATATGTAAACCCAACACGTCATATTCCTGTTATGTACCTGCTGTAAAAAATGATCCTGTTTTCTTTGTATTGCTTCCTTTGTGTGAAATCCCTGGTGTTCCTGCCAGTCCCTTTTGCTTTTCTAATAAAAACCGACCCCACTAAAGCAGGGGAACACACCGTGGTCAGTTCTCTACTTGTGCTGGGAATTCTGCCTGCTCTCCTCCAATGATCACACTTGTTCTGACACTCCCTCCTGCACAGCCTTTCTCTAGGAAGTTCAGTGTTCTGTGGTTTGTTCTCCCCCCAGCTCTTTTGCAGCTTAGAACAGAGGGAAAGTGATCACTTATAAAAACATTATAAATACCTTTTTTTTAATCTATACACAAATATTTTGCCTTTAATTTCTATTTTAAACTGAATGGGTTGTTTTACAAAGTGAGGGCTTGCAATCACTTTAAAACATTGAGCATTATAAAATGAACATTCCCCAGTAAATGATTTGTTAGTAGTTGTGAAGATAAAGTTCTAAAAATACATAGCCTGAAAGGTTACTAGTATTTTAGTAATTAAAGGATAAGTTCACCTTTCATAACACGATACATGTTACGCCCATATTCAGGGTTGCACACCTGCCCCCCTCCGATTCCCCGTTGTGACAGCTAGCGGGGGACCTTCTCTTCCCTGCTAGCTGTCACAATTTAAAAATCGTGGCCATGAGGGCCCCCGCCTGGCCGGCTTCGCCACTCATTCACAGTGTTGAATGAGAACGCTACAAGTTCTGACAGCTTTTGCAGCTGTCTGCTTGTAGTTGTCAATGAACTGCCATGGCACTGTGGAGCGCCGTGGTAGTTCATTGAGTCTTCCTGTCAGTATGTATCAGCTTTGCCCGTACAGGATGTATGAATAAACAGATACAGTGACAGGTCAGAGGGAGATCTGCAGATTGCTGGCGCAATGCTTTAGAGGCTCCAGAAGTGAAAAAATAATAAACGCACAGTTTTTTTACCTGCAAAAAAAATGTGCATTTATAATGTTTTGTTTAAAGGTGAATTTATCCATTAATATTTTGAAAAGAACTCAGTTTTGGATACTTTTTTGTTTTATTTTACTTGGAGGTCACATGATCGCTGTTCCTTCTGCAGTGCATCACAGAATGGCCAGTGGGCAGGACTATCCTGTGAGTGATTACATCACTTCTAAAAGTGACATATGCCAAAAAGGCTAAGCGTGTATGATGAAATGGATTGCAAGTCAAGAACATGGCAGAATCACATTACATCCTCCTTCCCCAGCTGACTTGCACACTTCTGGAGAGGAAGGATGGGCAAGGGGTATGGCTCCGACCAGACAGCGAAAGATACAGGCACGCTGTGCGCTTGCACAGTGTTGACTGTACCTGCGAACAGGAGTAAAAAATCAAGCAAACTGACCACACTAGCTCGGATCAGCTTCCATGTTTAGTGTGGTCAGTTTACAACCAGGAAGAAGGGGAACTGTCAGGATCAAGCAAGTATTAAATAGAGGAATCTGCAAAAATGCACATAATATGAAAATATACAGTTTAAAGATTTGAAGAACAGATTATTAAAATTGGATTTTTAAGGTTACAAACACTGTAATGCTTGCCCCAGCTGCTCTCCTGCTCTCTGTGCTGCTTCTCTGAACGTCTGGTTTTCACAAGAATAGAGTTAACAGTGCTTTCTCAAGTAAGTTAGCTTGGTGAAGGGAGGAAGAGTGATGAACAGGGCATTGCCTTTGCAATTCTAGGCTATGAGGCTGTGTGTAGGTCAGTGTTTCTCAACTCCAGTCCTCATGGACCCCCAACAGGTCATGTTTTCTGGATTTCCATTATTTTGCACAGGTGATTTGATCAGTTTCACTGCCTTAGTAATTACCACAGCTGTTTCATCTGAGGGAAATCCTGAAAACATGACCAGTTGGGGGTCCATGAGGACTGGAGTTGAGAAACACTGGTGTAGGTGGATACAACACTAGTCTCTACATAGAAAGCTCTATAGGATGCTGCAAGAGAAAAGAGCCACCTTGAAACGGGAAACCTGGGGCAGTGGTCACGGCACCAACCTAAACACGAGTATTGGTAAGGAATAAAAGAGAAATAATCTGCATTCTCTGTATACTCAATAAGCCAATAAATTAGCTCCTGAAAGTGCGTAAAATACTGATAGTTTTTAATATCAGTTCAATGCTTCAAGAAAAGCAGCCTGCAAAAAAATACTTTTAAGTGTTGCTTACATGTTTAAAAATTCTGTGTTATTAGTACATGTGTGTTTCTGAACATATTACACTTCTGATGTAATGCCTTCCTTATTGGGCAGGATGTGTAACACTTTTTTCCTCTCTGCATGTATTTATTTTTTCACAACAGACCTTTCTGCTGTGAAGCGTGGAACACCATTGTATGGACAGCCATCCTGGTGGGGGGATGAAGATGCTGCAGGAAACGCAATTAACCATGAGAGTAAAGAAGCCAGATCTCATGATGCTGGTGCAACAGGTATAAAATGTAAACCTGTTTTATGTAAGTCAAGTTGATTTTGATTTTATTATTACTATTCTATTCTTCCAACATGGTAATGTAGTACATTAAATATTGGAGACTAGAATATCACTACCTCTTACAAAGGCTAAACATCAGAGATCTGTTTCTTGCATACAGACTCATTTTGGATTTTTGACAATTCACAGATGGGATCTCCCTATTTCATGCTGTTTATTTTGTACCCTACTTCACATTTTTCTGCCTCACCCTCTTTGCAAATCATCTTTGCTTTCCCTTATTTTTTTCTTCTCTTTTTCATGTTTTTTTTTTTTTTGGGATCCAGATAGATCAGAGCTGGTGAAACCTGAGGGATTTTCTCAAAGGCCTACTTTGACTGTATCCTGTCTATATCAGATCTTGTCCTTATTAGGCATTCTCTAGGTCAGTTTTGTGAATCCTGCGTTATTGTAGGATAACACCTTGATGGATTGAGTGCCTTTTCATTTTATATACCATTGTACAAGCATGGACATTTTCCTTGCATTCTACTTGTCTTGTTTTTTCTTTGAATCTCATTTTGTAATGTACAAATGAAAATAAAGAATTTAAAAAATGTATCATAAACAAAGTACCTTTTTTAGATTGTATGTCCTTACGATCAGGATAATCCTAATCCTCTTTGAATTATTTTATAACGATACTGTCTCCCTTTATTTTGTATAGCACTGCACAAACTTTTTGCGACAAATATAAATCCTATATAAGAATAAATATAAATGATCACAATAGGGGGAGAGCAGGTCCCCGTTCCTAAGGCCTTAATGTGGCATTCTATCAAATCTAAAAACCTTTTCTGTAGACAAGCTTTCACATAATTTTCCATTTTTTTTCCTTTGTTTTATCCTGTGTATTTTTTGTATTTTCCTTGTAAAGTGCTTTGAGAAGTTTTCTTTAAAGGTACTATATAAAATACATTTTATTACTGTTATAGGGATGCGCAGTTACCAAGTATTTTCATGAGTACTCATATTCGTGAAAATGCTCCTGATACCCGAAACCGATACTTTGCGGTGCAATTTGCGTCCATACAAAATGAACGGGCACAAATCACACTGCACAGAATCGCATTTGATAGATTTTGAACAGGAAATCGGTGTGATTCCTGTTTGAATCGCATGCGGTTTCCTGCACTTCTCCTTCGTGAACCCTAGCTTGTCATAGCCTTCACACAACGAAAAGCCGCTTCACAAGTCTGGGGATTTGAAATCCCTGAGGCTTTTTCTACTCTCCTTGCAGGGATGACAGTACGGGATAGATGGCTTCTGATTGGCCAGCACTGTGGGTTCCCACAGGAGTGGTGCAGGAAATCACATGTGATTCGGATAGGAATTGCATCGCATTCCTGTTTAAATCAAATGTGATTCTTTGCAGTGCGGTTCGTGACCATTCATTTTGTATCGGTTCTCAGTATCGGCAAGTATTTCACCAAAAGTATCGGTACTCATATATTTGCCGATTTAAAAAAAAAAAAAAAAAAGATATCTGTGCATCCCTATGTTATTATTATTGTGGTTCTAACTCTTGTGTTTTTTTTATGTCAATAATAAAAAATTATTATTATACAGGATTTATATAGCACCAATAGTTTGCGGAGTGCTTTACACAATGAAGGTAGACAGTTACAGTACAATTTGGTACAAGAGGAAACAGAGGGCCTTGTGCATTAAGGTAAAAAACCTTCTGGGTGTCACTCCCCCAGCAGCACCCTTATACTTGTCTAAGCCCCATGTTGATCCATCAATGTGTATGAGAGCAGTGGCTCTCTGAGGCCTCTCTCTCATTAGCTCACACAGCAATGGAAGCCATTGGCTTCTTTTGCTGGCGGTCATAGCCAGTGAACCGATGAGGAGAGAGCAGGGGTGGGGCCGAACTACGCTTGGTGTGCAAATGGACGAGCTGCTCAAGTTCCCCCATAGCAAGTGGCTTACTGTTGTGGGCACTCGGGACTCAAAAAGTAGAGGATCAGGTCTACTCTGTGCAAAACTGATACACAGAGCAGGTAAGTATAACATGTTTGTTATTTTAAAATAAAAAACCTTAGCTGCTGCTATGCCTTTATAAAGCTTGGATAGCAATTCATGCTAGAAAATCTTTCACACTCAAAATCATCTTATTTCAGATTGCACTAAACTATTGGTAAATTCCTTTTTTAGGTTGCTGCAAAGATGCTAAGAAAAGTGCTCAGCAAGTGACTACATTGAAAGAAGAAAATGCAAATTCTTTTATCAGAGAGCCAAGTTACTTTGAGATCCCTTCTAAAGAACTCCAGCAAAAATCTGAAGTAGAAAATGCCACATATGAAATCCCAGCACAGGATCCGCACTGTTCTCAAGTTTCAGGGGCAGGCCATGCTTCATTTACAATTGAGTTTGATGAGACCTCCCCAGGTAAAGTAACCATTAAAGACCATATAACCAAATTTATGGACCATCGTCAAAAATCAAAGAAGACTCTGTCTGCTGGAGATAAGGACCTTGCTGGGTTGCATACAGAGATGATTGCAGCAGAATGTAAAGTAGCGGATTGGTTGGCACAAAATAACCCACCAAGACTGTTAAAAGAAGCAGCTGAAGAAGATAGTAAAAGTATTAAAAGTGATGTACCAGTGTACTTGAAGAGGTTGCAAGGTAATGATATATTTTGCTTTATACATTTTTTCGTTAGTATTAAAATTTTACTTTTTTTCCGTAGAACGCGTATGTTACAGAGTCATCTTAAAGTAGAGCTAAAAAACTTTGTTTCTATTAGAAATGGAATATGAGAGGGTTATAACACTTGTCAGTTTTTTTTTCCATCTTTGTCCTATTAACATTTCTCTTCGCTTCCTGCCCATAGCCACAACAGGAAATGACAGGAGATCCATTCAAAGTGAGGGAAATCCCTGGTCATCACCAGAACTAGTGTCCCCATCAGAAAATTTCCTCTCCCTTCCTGTTTTGGTAATGACTCAAAATTTGGAACCAGACAAATAGAGAGGATGAATCTCTCTAACGGCACACGTTGCAAAGAAAACACGATAGGGGATCTAATCCTTCCCCACTGACAATCCAAAGCTGAAAAACATAATTGCAATTGGTTACACTTTAATACATCCATCCATTAAACCTTAGCCCTTGGCATAAAAACCTTTGTCCAAACCTGGATAGTAAAATTAGCTATAACATTATTACTGGGTTGCTCATAGCCTGTGCAAAGAGCAAATGTGCGGCAGGGACACAGTGGGCTATCTGCAGAAAATATCGTGGGTGGGAGGGGTAGCCAGAATTTCAGTTTTAATTATAGGACCAGTAAATGTAAAATAATTTTGTAGAACTACTAATATCGATGAATATGTATAAGTAACCATAACCGTACAAAAAAATACCACGTTTGACACAGTAATGGTATTTGCTATACAAGCAATTATGAGTCATTTTGAAAGGCTTACAAGTGGAAAGTGATGCTAGCACTAGTAACTGGCTAATTCACACTAGTGCGTTGATCTGCACTTCACCGCTGTAAAACGCAGGTCAACGCAAGGATACCTTAAAAAACAGTTGTTTTTTATGCGTCTTGTTTACATTGTAACTCTGTGTTGACCTGTGTTGCGTTGCGTTAAAATGCAACATGTATGCATTTTAACGCAACGCAGGTCAATGCAATGTAAGTAAAGAAAAAAGTTTTGCTTTTGTGTCTTTTTTTTTTTTTTTTTTTTTTTTTTTGTGACCCACAGGATGTGATGTCACAGGAATTCCTGCAAAATGCAGTGCATTTCAGCGCACGCTAAAACCCATGTCATTACTCATCAAAATGTGCATCAACGCAAGTCAATGCGCATGAAAACACGCAAGAAATGAATGGAAATGTACATCTATTTTCCCTGCATTTTATCACAAATTAGTGTGAATTCAACTGAAAGGAGATTGTGCAGAAAAGAAGAAAATATTTCCAGCTCTAATAAATACATTTTGTGTATCAAATACGTTTTAGTAACCTTTTAAAGCATACATTTATTATTCTGATAATGTTCTTGTATATTGGTGCTTTTGATTGGTCTCTAGCTGTCATTTTAGGGAGGCTGTTTTCAATCAGTACTGGGATAAGGGGTGTAAAAAGGCAGTCCGTATGTACATAGACAAATAATACATTTCATGCAGATAAAAGGCTTTTTATATATTAACACAAATTGATAAGGCTGCTGAAACAAAACTAATATGTGATACAAACACTAGGGTTAAATTTACATGAATGGCAAAATAGGCGTCTCGGTCTTCTTCTAATTCTTCAAAACTGCCTAGAGCCAACCATAGACGGCTCGAACCACGTATGGGCAGGCTGAATGTACCCAAGTTGATTGATTAACATGGGTACAACCAGCTTGCTGGATTTTGCATGCGATTATTGCTAGCAGCTGTTATAGACACCAGCAATTATCACTGTCTTCTCCTGGCAGGGATGGCTGCCCCTGCCAGGAGAACACAATGGCTTTGCAGGTGGGATTCCCCTGTCAACACTGACCCGTGGTTGCAGGAAAGAAATATGCACCGTCTATGGTCTGCCTAACAATGCTACAGTAGATAGTAATTGGTAAATGGACAGCTGACTGTGTACTACACATGTAAAAATCTGGTCACATGTAAAAATCTGTGTCACTTTGGGCTTGTTCACACGCGCGACAATACCTTGTGTTTCATCTGTGTTTTAAGCAGTGTTTTTAAAGCCTCTTAACTGTCCTTCAATGTCTGCCATAAATATTACAATGGGCACCACATATTACAGTACACATGGGCATGGTGGCATTGTGTTGTGCTCAAAATTAGGCAGCATAGTGCTTTCAGGAGGCATTGCTGTTTATCAGCTGCCTCCATTAATTTCCATAGTAACGCACCTTAACTACTCCTATAGCATTTATGACGTGTTGATGCAGCATTTATAGAGCTCATGCACACGGACTTTATGCCTCTAAACGCAATTCTATGTTAGCCTATGTGGCCATGCACATCAGGCGTTTAGATCTGTATTTCAAGAGCAGCATTTACAGACATAAAAGAAAAAACAGGAAGTTACCAGTGCCATTGGCCTGCACCCGGTTTTCCCATACCTCACAATGTTTGCTTTCCAGTGTCTATATCTGCTGTGTACTTCATTGTGTGCTTATGGCTAAAGATGTGTCCCAGTCTCAGCTCATTGCCACAGTACAGCTGCATCCGGAAGTTTGGGACCTTTCCAACCCAAGATATATGGATCACATCAGAATCGTTAACATCAAACTGGGATGTACTTGGCAGATGGGAAAAGGAGAATAGGGGTAAGTGCATATTTCTGAATAATTCACAGACCCAAGCATGCTTTTCAGTATATATTGAATATTGACTTTTTTTTTTTTTTTTTCAGAAAACACTCAGTATTTGATGGAAATATTTTTGTGACCACTTATGCCACAAAATAACCTTGAGGCAGTCAGAAGTGGAGTCCCAGCATGTGGCTCAATCCTCTTCCATATGCCATTGCCTAAGCGCCCACCTCACTGGCAACAACCCCCTCGATCCACTACAGTCTGGCTTCCGTCCCCTACACTCCACCGAAACCGCCCTACTCAAAATCACTAATGACCTGCTAACCGCCAAAGCTAATGGCCACTACTCAGTCCTCTTACTCCTCGACCTTTCCGCGGCCTTCGACAGTCGACCACCCCCTTCTCCCTAATAAACTACACTCCCTCGGCATCAGAGACTCCGCTCTCTCCTGGCTCTCCTATCTATCCCAATGCTCCTTCAGCGTTACCTGTAACGCTACCACCTCCCCCTCTCTGCCCCCCCCCCCCCCCCCCCCCCCCCCCCTTTGTTGGGGTCCTCCAAGGCTCTGTCCTCAGGCCCCTTCTCTTCTCCATCTACACCTCCTCCCTCGGCAAACTGATACACTCCCATGGCTTCAACTATCACCTCTACGCTGATACGCAAATTTACCTCTCCACCCCTCGCCTCACCCCTTCAGTCTCCGCCTGTATCACCCACCTACTGAACGACATATCAGACTGGATGTCGCTCCATTTCCTCAAATTGAACCTTTCCAAAACTGAGCTCCTGATTTTCCCCCCAGCCCGTGCCCCCCCCCCTCTCCATCACGACCAACAACGCCACCATCAGTCCCACCCCGCAAGCCAAAGTCCTAGGTGTCACTCTAGACTCAGACCTGTCCTTCCAACCCCATGTCCAATCATTGGCAAACTCATGCAGGATCCACCTCCGCAACATCTCCAAAATACGTTCGTTCCTAACCCCAGACACTACTAAACAACTCGTTCACTCCCTTATTATCTCACGTCTGGACTACTGCAACTCCCTTCTCACCGGCCTACCTCATCGCAGACTATCCCCGCTTCAGTCTTTCCTGAACTCAGCGGCCAGACTCATCCACCTTACCAATCACTCCGCTTCTGCCTCCCCCCTCTGTCATTCCCTCCACTGGCTCCCGATTGCCCAACGCATTCAATTCAAACTACTAACACAGACATACAAAGCCATTCAAAACGCTACCCCAAACTACCTCACCAACCTGATACCCAAATACCACCCTACCCGTAATCTTCGCTCCTCACAAGACCTCCTACTTTCTAGCTCCCTGGTCTCCACCTCCCACGCCCGACTGCAGGACTTCTCCAGGACTTCCCCCATCCTCTGGAACTCACTACCCCAATCCATCAGACTGCCACCTACCCTCGTCACCTTTAGGCGCACCATGAAAACCCATCTCTTCAGGGAAGCCTACCCCGCCCTCACCTAACAGCCGATCTCCTCCACTCCTCCTACCACTCCATCCCCCACAGCCACTTCCTCCTGTACCACTATCCCCTCCCTCCTAGATTGTAAGCTCGAAAGAGCAGGGCCCTCGAACCCCTTGTGTATTGTTTTGTTATTGTATTGTCTCATGTACTGTCCCCCACTATAATGTACAGCGCTGAGCAAACCTTTTAGCGCTATATAAATTCTGTATAATAATAATAATAATATGCAGAGGAATTAGCCTTCCTATGAAGGGTAATGAAGTCTAAAGAGTAAGCACAGTTAGTAATTTTGTTTTTGTTTGGGCCCCCATGGTAAACGGAGCACTTTAGTCCTGTTTACATAAAACATTTAGGTCTATAAGGCTTTAGATGTAATGGATGTGTGCCTGTATACATCCAACCACATGCAGGTACAACTTCACATTACAAAGACCGAAAGTGAAAAGCATAAAAATTTGCTTCTGTTGGATCTTATTTGTAATGTTTTCTCTTTATGGGACCACATCCAACTGGTCTGCGGATGAGAGGAAGGGTCAGACGGCAGAAAGTGAAGCTGGGCGCCCAAACCCACCTACATCTTGTAGTTCACCCGTGACTTCCTATTTAGCCACACTAGCAGTATCAGAGCAGTCCAGGAGCCTTGATGTGTTTTTTTTGTCTATCTATCTATCTATCTATCTATCTATCTATCTATCTATCTATCTATCTATCTATCTATCTATCTATCTATCTATCTATCATCTCCATAATCAATCCATTTTGTACTATGTGTCTATTTGAAAGTTTCTGCCTCTCTGGGCTGCAGCAGCAGAGGAGCACTCATCATATCAAAGTATCTTTGGGCTTGGACGTGGGTGGCGGCAG